TGGTCTTGAACTTGCAAACCTCCTGCCTCCACCTCCTGGGTGCTGTAAGTAAAGGCCTGTACCACCACACCTGACTTGGGTTGGACATGAGGTGGGTCAGTCTTTCCTCTTCCGTCCTTACACAGTGTTTAAAATAGCTTAAAGAGTGTTCTTACTACATATGAGCTGTTATCACTGTTCTGGAGGCAGGCGAGCTGGGTGTTGATACACGGGCTCCATTCAGACCAGATAATATTCTGTGGACTCCACCTGCCGATAAGGAACTATGGGGTTCCAGGCCTCCCTGAACTTTCCCTAGTCCTGCTCTAGTGCCACTGGCTGTGGGGGGATAGGGAGAGCTGGTAACAGGAAGTTGGCTTCTGAGACTAGAGCAGTGCTGTGTATAGACACCTGTGTGTCTGCATACACACTCTCATGTGTGAATGTGTATCCCGTCAGCTGGGTGGGGCGTCGTCCTTTTTCTAACTAAATGACTCTTCTCCATTAAAGCAGGCACTAGGGGATGCTGCGGAGGCACTGATGGGGCTGCTTGGTGTTGCTGGTGTGCTGTAAAGATTGGGGACTTAATGGCCTGTGGCCACTACAAAGTAACTGAATGGTCCGTATGTCCAATCAGACTGTCAATGGGGACTGTTGGGTGGGAACCACCATGTGCTTCAGAGAGGGCACAGGGTGTGGGGCAAAGGCTACCAAAGAAAGGGACACGCCCCACTCCACCTGAGCTTGGCCTGGGTTGGACACTTGACCACTCCATGTGATACAGCACAGCTCACAGTAGGCTCCTGACAGAAGCTTGCACACAACTCCACAGTTGCCTACAATAGGTGGATGGAGGGGCACCAGTCTTACCTACTCATGGTCACTTCTCTTACAGGCACAGGTGTCCACATGCAGCACATATGTGCACACCTGCTAATTGTGGGCTCACACACAGTGTTCCAGGTGGACAGGATGGGGTGGGAGGGGCCTGAGGGAGAGAGCCATGCTGGTCAGGCAGGGGATGCTTGTGGCTGGGGTTAAGGGGTCTAGTGGGCGGTCACACACTGAGGTCAGGGGTTCCCAGGCCCAGCTGAGGAGACTGCAGCACATGCCAGGAGGACAGAGAAGCTGGCCACATGGGAAGTCATCCCCTTCTATCAGCTGTGCCCTCAGAAGTGTCCCAAAGCTACCATCAGCACTGAGAGGGCAGTGAGGAAGCAGCTGGCCCAGGGCCCCCAGGCCTAGCTGGTGTAACTGGGGTTTCCATGCCCATCCTGTGCCCCCAATGCACTGGGCCTGTCCAGCACTGGCATGGCCAGGGCCTGACAACCTGCCCACTAGGGACTGAGGGTCAAGAAGGGGCCACCCTTGAGCCTGCAGACTAGCTGGGAGCTGGGCTAGAACCCTTTGGAATGTGATTTCTCACTGGATCCTCCTTGCAGGTGGTTCACATCTGCTCCAGAGGAGAGGCTGCTGACTTGCTCAAGGGCCAGACTGGCAGGTGAGGGTGTGTCCCCCTCAGGCTGGAGTCCCCCTGCTACACTTGCCCAGAGGAAATGTCCACACCTGGGGACCTGCAGGACCAGAAGAAGCCTGAAGGAGGTAAGTGTCGACAGAAGGACAGAAGTCAGGACTGGGCCCTGGCCCCAGCTCAGCATAAGGCCAGAGACATATGACCTCTGGACTGCCCACCCTGACTGGAGACTGCTCAGGAGACCAATTTAACCTTTCCATACTGCCTCCCAGATGCTGTCATCAGCCTGCCTCGGCCAGGCTGCTGATGTTCTTCCTCTGGCTGGGTGTTATCTGTGAGCAGGCAGGAAGGCCCTGAGATCTGTGGAGACAGGCCAGGCTCCACCCAAGGACCAAGGACCTGAGAGACCATCACTGCTCCAGCACAGGGGAAATGGGGCCTCACTGAGTGGCTTAAAACAGCCATGTCTGCTCAGCTATGCAGGCCAGATGTCCAGTGTGGGCCCTGCTGATATGACTAATGCCCAGGTGCAGGCAGGGCTGCTTCCTTCTAGAGGCCCTGGGAAAGTACCCATCTTTTCCAGCTTCTAAAGCTGTTCCTGCTTGCAGCCCCTCAGGCCTGCACTATCTCTGTCAGACGTACATTTCAGGCCATTTCCTCTTCCATCAGGGCGGTGCCTCCTCCATCATGCCAGCACCAGCTGGGTGAATCCGGCCCACCTTCTCCCACTCTACCTTCCTCATCCACTTGCAGGGGCTCTGCGGTCATCTGGGGTGCCTGGTGAGCCCAGGACAATCTCCGTGCTTTACGGTAAGCTGAGTTTTTAATCCACCTATACCTTGGGTCCCCTTTGCCAGGTGTGGCCATATAGTCACTAAGCCTAGGGAAGACCACATGACCATCTTTGGAGGCTGCTATTCTGAGGACCACAGTGAGAGCCAGGCTACAGGGTTCCTATTGAGGGTGGCTCACCTGCCTGGCTCTTGGTTTCCGTAGCTCCTGATTAAGCACACACTGTCATTCCAGCACTAGGGGAGGCTGAAGGAAGAGGATCAGTAGTTCAGAGCCGCTATAGGTTATATAGTGAGAGCCTGTCTCAAAACAAAACCAACCAACCAACCAACCAATGCACATAGGGCTAGCAACCAGGAGACCCCAGAGCCCCAGCAGTGGTCAGGGTCACCCCTTCTGAGACCCCTGGGCAGGGCTCGGCTCCCAACCACTCTCCAGCATGACATCTTCCAGCGTCATCTCCCAGCCCAGCCTTAGCATGTGTCCTATCCACAGTGCTCCTTGGCCTCACCTGGACGTGTCATGGGCCTTGCCTGCCAGCGGGGCATATCCCCTCCTGGGTCACCCAACCTGATCTGACCCTAACGAGCTGGAATGCCCTTCTACCACAGTGTGCCAAGGGAGAGAGCCTACCCTGACTCAGTTTTCCGTCTCTCAGTGGCAGCCCAGTCTAGTCCGGTTAGTTATTCATGCATCTGACCTTGCCTAAGGCCTAAAGCCAGAGGCTCTGGACCCAAGTAGAACAGTCTCTATCCAGCCCTTGCTCTCCGATGCTCAGTGATCCAGAGCCACTCACCAGCACCTCAGGAAGTGTAGCAAGCCCGCAGGGCGGGGTGTGCAGCAGGTCCTTGTGTGCAGGGTGTGCGGGAATTTTGAGGGTAGGACACTCTGTCTTCTCTCTGATCTCTCAGAGAGAGATCTTAGGTACAGCATGGAGTCCAGGGATGCTAGGTATGGGAAGGTAGCACCCATGAGGCAAGGAGGTGGATGGTGGCTCCCACAGGCTGCACTGGGGATCCCTGAGGCAGAAGACACTGTGGTGGTTACAGCCTTGGGGATCCCACCAGGGTCCCTGCAGTCCATAGCAATGGATCTGACCTCTCCAAGTGCCCTGGTTTCTGGCTGGAACCAGAGAATCTAGAGCTGTCAGTGGCCTGTCTCCTCTCCCCACACCTGATGGCTGTGGGTTACCTGCTAAGGGCTGGGGGGTGAGGTGCAGGACTCACATGGTTATGGCTGCATGCAGCCCTGGGAAGCAAGGAGAGCAGGTGGGGCAGACACCATGTGGGGACTTTCTGGAAGCCACATGGCAGTCAGTGACTTAGCAAATGAATCTGTGTCTCCAGAGACCAGACACTGAGATGGAAAGCAATGTGCTACCTCCAGGACTGATGTGCTGGGAGGGTGAGCAATGAGCTGGGCCCCTCCTGGCCAACCTCAGCACTGAGGATGGTGGGGCAAATCACAGGTGATTGTGAACACAGCATTCAACTGCACCTGCTCAGACGGAGGGCTACCAAGATGAAAAGCTGCAAAGTTATTCTGTAAAGGACACAGTATGTTAGCAGAAAGGACACCACTGTTATTTGGTAGTATTGAACATACTATGGCATAAAGCAAACAGTTATGTAATCAAAAACTTCAGGATTCAAGAAGAGATGCAACTGTAACATCCATGGATTTAAGAAATAATCTTGCAACATTAAATTCATTTTTTTCCTAGCAGAATTATTTCCTTAGCTACTAAAAGGGTCCAGACTAGCCTGAGTGGTGCTCCCTTTGGAAAGGAGCTGGCTCCTGGAGAAGCAGCAGATGCCCAGGGTCCAGGCTATAGGGATAGTACAGGACCACAGGAGCTTGTGACTACATTCCCAGTGGGAGCTCGGGGGAGTGGGGAGTGGCTTGGGGTTGTCCCCTACCTCACGATGTCCACTTGGAAGGCAGGACCAGGTGCTGCTCTGGAGTCTCAGCCTGGTGGGCAAGGTGCCCTGTGAGTGGTCAGGTTCTTGTCTAACTGTCCCTGTTACTGCCTGTGTAGAATGCTCCAGATAAGTCAAGGTCAGATGTTAGCAGGGATGGGGAACCCATGCATCTGAGCTGGTGTGACCAAGTGTGGTGTGGGCAGGCTAGACATCTCCCGTGGGCCAGGGAAGGCAGAGAGGCAGGGGAAGTTGTGAGATGTGGACACGAAATGGGTGTAGCAGAGCAGATGACAGAGAAGAGGGGACATAGCACAAAGAAATTCCAGAGGGACCCTGAGCTGGGAGTGGGGCAGGGTCAAGGAAGCACAACTGCAGGCCATCTTGGGACAGCCTTGGGTGGCCTCGGGGACTTTGACTGCTTATGGTGTGTGCAGAAGACACAAGGTCATAGTCAAATGATGGCAGGACCTGCTTTGTCTGGATGGCCACGACAGGCTGTCCAACAGCTACATGTGGAAATGCCCAGAGAAAGCCATGACCACCCTTTTAGAAGCCCAGCTGGGGCAGTGGGCCCAGGGCCTGCCTGTGCTGGGTGTCTTGTAGACAGCGTGTGAACTCTGGGGTCAGCTCTACGCAGGAGCTTACCCAGGGCATGCACATGGCATCTTATGCAGGCTGGGAGACATGGCAGCTCTGGAAGGTGCAGGCATGTATGCAGACAGGTGACCTGCAGGTGATAGCCACACAGCACAGGACAGGTGCCTATCTTCTCTCATCTTTATTTCATTTCTTTCCCCCCTGGGACCCTATGGGACCTGCCCCAGAGACTGCCAGCAGCCCTGGGCACGGGAGTGGGCCATACACTGGACACAGCCATATATCCTTATTGTGCTCATGAGGTTGGCAAATGCTAGTGGCCAAAAAGACCACTGAGGACGTGAGAGCAGCTGGGGCCACTGACCTGTGACCCCGGGGCTGGGGCAGGGAGGCCTTCCACAGTGATTTCATCTGAACAGTTCATGACGCTGGTTAACCTGATTTGGGGTTCCATTTAAAGGCTGCCGGGCCTGCCATGAGGCCCACAAGCAGATGCTCTGCTGCTCTGAGCCTTGGACTGGTTGAACCTCTGGTCACAAGCGGTAGAGCTGTTTGAGCAGGTCCTTCTTGTTGACCTTGCCCATCTGGTTCCGTGGGATCTCCTCCACCAGCAGAAGCTCGGAGGGCACAGCGTAGGGGGCCAGGACACCTCTGCAGGATAAGCACAGTCTGAGACAACACACAATTTCTGGGGCATGAAAAACTCAGGACCCCCGGGACCACAGCCCAGCTGGGTGCCTGGGCCATCCTAGGTTGGAAGTCATGTTATGTGTCCAAGGACCTTGGGAGTAAGCTGTCTGCAGGAAGTGGCTGATGTCTGGCTATCATTCATACCTTGTGACTAGACAGAGATGGGTTGGGTGGACACTAGCCTTTCTCCTGACACAGGGAGGAAACTGGTCTTTCTACCAGGTGTGAGGTTGCCTGGGGTTTCCACAAAGGCCCCCTCTCAGACCAGGGTGCCTTTTTCCTGGTCTACTGAGAATTCTTGTGATAAGTGATGTTGAAATGTGAAATGTTTTTCTGTATCTATAGAGATGACTGCGTGGCTTTTATTCTGTAAACATGGTAAATCATACTGATTGATTTGTAATCCTGGTGTAAATACCACTTGATTATGATGCATGATGTATGGGCTTTTCTATGAATTAATAGGACTTAATTTACCAACAGGACATAATTTTGTGTCTGCCTGTAAGGGACAATGGTTTGGCTCTGGTATGAGGGTATGGCTGATTCCATGAGGCGGGAAGCACCCTTCCCACTGTTTTATTAGGGATGTGATTGTGTTTGGTTGGGCCTTTTCCTTAATACTTGATACAATTTGTCACTGGAGCCTTCTAGGGGATCTGGCATTTGCTTTATGGTGAAGTTTTTAACTGAGAGTTCTACTTAATAGACAAAACTCTTTAGGCTCTCTAGCTTTTGGGTCAGCACTGCTGGCTTTTTTTTTGGGGGGGGGTGGACTGGAAGTTGAACTCAGATCTTTGTGCTTAGAAAGTGGCACTCTAATACTTGAGCCATACCTCCAGTTCATTTGTTCTGGTTATTTTGTTTTCTTTCCCTTCCTCTCCCTTTCCTTCCTTCCTCCCTCCTTTCCCTCTCTTCCTTTCTTTTTTTGGGGGTGGTACTGGGGTTTGAACTCAGGGCCTGACACATGCTAAGCGAGGGCTCTACCACTTGAGCCATTCCACCACCCCTGTTCTGATCTCTCCAACTACTTGCCCAGGCTGACTTCCAACCGCTATTTTCCTTATCTCAGCTTCCCAAATTGCTAGAATTATAGACGTGAGCCACTGGCACCCAGCCCACACTGCTATCTTTAATGGGGAAGTGCTTGAGGCTGCAAAGGTCTGCAGGGACCCTGCAGGCTGCTGTGATGCTGTGCCTTCATGCCTGGCATTCACGCTTATCTTCTCTCTCCTCTTTCCTTGACTCCCTTTTCATCTGAAAATTCAGGGCCTTCATCTTGGGGAGAATTTAACTGTTTTGTGATAGGTTCTCTCCCCAGATGTATTCTCTTTTTGGAACTCTCTTTCATCAGCTGCAACTTTTGGATTAATCCTCTCACCGATCTTCTCCCTCCTTTCCTTCCTTCCTGTCCCTGCTTTAGTAGCAAGCAGAGGGCAGAGCAGCATGGCCTGGGATGGCACAGCCAGCAAGGCTAAGGTCCTGGGGGAGAGGACATGGGTCACAGTAGAGGCGAGGGGGGCCTGGGTGCCACACAGAAGGGATGACAAATCACTGGAGCCTTGAGATTGCAGCAGTGGGCCAGCCCTCCCTTGTAGGTGTCCTGGGTACGAGGCACCAGGACCCACAGGTCCGGTGAACCTGCACTAAGGGGCAGGTGGGTCTGAGTGTTATGAGCGGGGACACTGCTCCAGGTCCCCTCAACCCGAGGGGATGGCCAGTGGCTGCTCACTGTGGAGACACAATCTGAAGGGCCAACAGTTCTAGCTCTAGTGGGGCTAGCTGCACTGGGGCTGTGGCTGCATCCTGGCCCATCTTGCTCCTCATGGCTGCGAATGACTACTAGCGAGCCCCACACCCTCTGCCTGCAGCTCCTATCTCTGGTCTTCTCACCACCACGGACCCAGATGTCCCACACAGGCCCTGCTGGAGGCTGGCAGGAGCCTGATCTACACATGAGAGAGGCCCATGGGTAACATGCACAGCATGAGAGCCACAAGTTTGGTGACCATGGATGTAGCGTGGTCTTAAGAGCCTGAGGCCAATGTGTGACCTCCATCCCTGACTCTTCTGCAGCTCTCAGCACAGGATGCCTGTTTTCTTTTTTCTTTTTAACAAAGCAATTGTTTAATGAAAGCAGCAACTGGCCAAGCAGACTCTCTCAGCTTTGCTGAACTACAGAGCTCCAACTGTGATTTTGCAAATCCAGGGGAATCTTTAATCGCCCAGCTGTGCTGCCCCTGATGAAGCAAGGAATCCTACTGTTTGTGAAACCATGTTGGACGAGCCAAAAATATCTCTACGCTAAGGAAAGGAGGCGAGTGGAGTGGGAGCAGGCGGGTATGTGGAGATGGAATGGAGACAACACAGATTTAAGAGAACCTGGGGTATTAATATTGGCTGTCAGGGAAGCTAAAAATGGCTCTGCTCTGAAGGTTGGACTTGTGGTAACTGCAGGGACTGGGGAGGGCCTGTGATCCTGGGGAGACATCGGAAACCACCAGGGGCTGAGAAAGTCCCTGTGGAGGCTTTGAGGAAGGTGAAGGCAAACATGAAGGACACAGGGTGAGGAAGGATGGGGAAGTAGCTGCTGCTGCTGGATGGAAAGAAAGTCACCTGACTTGGACCTGAGAAGGAGCTATGGCCATGGGCCACAGCCCCTGGGGGGAAGAAAGGGGAGAAGGGACGCAGTGAGCACCATGTGGCCTATGGGAGAATGAGGCACCTTAGGGACCCGCCCTCAGGGGGGAAGCAGAAGGGGCTGCTGGGGCATCATGGGCTGTGCACTTTTACTGGAGGCTGCAGACCTGGCAGAGGAAGGACAGTTGCTCAGCCCAACACCTGCAGCAAGCTCTGTATTAGCTCGGCACTTTACTGGTGGTGTCTAGCCTAACCGTGTTTTGGAATTTATTCTGAATCTGAGACCAAATTTGTTTGCTCGTGGCCCAGGAACACAAGCTTCTGCCACTAGAACATTGCCTCCCAATCAAGTCTGCAGGCCAGAGGTCCTTCCTGTTTCCTGGTGTACTCACAGGGGCAGAGGACACTGCTGTCCAAAGCCACACTGCTGACCTTTGCAGGTTCCTATTCTCCACCTCTGACAGGGATAATGCTAAGACCCAGAATGGTCCACCTCCATCCCTCAGACCCCAGGATGGTCCACCCCTATTCCCTCAGACCTACCTGGCCCACTCCTTGAGATCCCTGTGGGACAGTGAGTGTCCTTCTTGAAGGGCCACCACAGCTGTGACCCGCTGGCCCCATGTCATATCTGGAACTCCAATCACAGCCACATCTGAGGACGGAAGAACAGGCAGGATTGGAGACATTTGAGAAAGCCCTGTTGAAAAGTGCAGGCCTCATAGGAAATGCTGGACGGTAGTCTCCTGGTCCTCCGGGTCCCACTCCTATCCCCACTCATGGGATTGAGGAGCTCCCCACAGCATCTCTTGTGCAGCTTGGCATCCAAGTTGGCTCTGTGCATGAGGGCACAGGGGTAAGATGTGTGTTCTGGCAGGGCCTGGAGGCCAAACAGGTGTGGTGGGCAGCACCTCAGGATTTCCATCCCAGCTGTATGCTGGTGGCCACTTCAGGAGAAACACATTTCACTAGATCCCTGCTGACAGGTAAAAAGGGTCTCTTGCCTCCGAATGTCTAAAGCTCAGCTGATGGGGACAGAGGCACTGGGTCCAGATGGGCAGCGGTCTACCAAATCTGAAAACCTTTGTCCGTCCACTCACCCATGATGCTGGGGTGGGCCAGCAGGTGCCGCTCAACTTCCAGGGCACTGACTTTATAGCCTCCGGTCTTGATGATGTCCACCGAAGTCCGGCCTCGGATCCAGTACTTGCCATCCTTGAATACGGCGGTGTCCCCTGAAAAAGAGGCCTCTGTGAAAGCCTACGGACATCTGGTCACCAGAGGATGAATCTTAGAACTCCTGGAAGTCACTATGAGAGTCCAGGGGTTCACTGGTATGGGGTCATGTTCACAGACATGGGGTCCCACTTCAGTTGCATTTGGCTCCTCTCTGCTCTCCATCCTTATACTGATGGCACCCTTCCCATCAGAGCCCACGACATGCCAGCAGCTGGCTGGATCCCTAGAGTCTGCAAATACCCTGAACTTGTAAGCCACAGTGTGTCACATTTCCATCACACCATCAATAACCACTAGCTATGGATGAAATGTGTGGCATTTCCAAAACGCAGAAGCAAGTATGGCCCTGACTCAGGATAAGCAGCTCCAGTAAGACATGTGGGGCCTGGATGCAATCCACACACAATTCCATGCAGACAGGGTTGCAGTTCGTGCCCTGCCAGGGCCAGGCACAGACATGATCCCTGCACAGCTCCATGAAGACAGGAGCTGTGGTACATGCCCTTGCATGGCTGCCCTGGTTACTGCAAGGTGCCCATCCTGCTGCCTCAGACCCATGAGGACATTCCCACTCAGTGCTGGGTGAAAACAAGTGAACCACATGCCTCTAACATCCCACTGTGAGTGGGGTTCTGGTGGGGATAGGGGTCTCTGCGGGCACCTTTCCCAAAGGGAAGGAGTCCCCAATAGTTTCCCCCACTCTGTGTCCTCCTGCATCTCTGCACCTGGCACCCACTGTCCCAAAACAGCCCTGAGCATTTCTCCCTAGGCAAAGCTACTGCCCTACCTCCACCTTACACATGGGAGCCTGGGCAGCTGAGCCCTTTACACTCAACAGAAACACTGGCGGCACTAGGAGAGGGGAGGCAGGTATGAGTGGGACAACCGGCCAGCACACGTGACTGCACTCCCAGCCCGAGAGTATCTCCCGTGCGGGGTCATATTCACAACTGTAACGGTGTGTAATCATGTGGATGGCCCCAGCCATCCTCCCACAGCAGTGCCGAGGCTTCACTGTCTGTTCACGTGCTCCCTACACTCCACGTGGGTTATTAGCTGGAATAAATCATAAATATTTCATTACACATTGTGCCATCCAACATGGGAAGGCACCATCCATCACTTTGCCGCTGCTTGGGACCTGCGGCAAGGAGCATGCTCTAGTCTATTAGACAAGATAGATGGGTGGTCGGGCTCCAGGCTTATTTATGGTGCAGCAGGAAGGCTGGGCCCCAGGAGGCAGTGCTGGGATGGGTAGGGTTCTCCAGAGCAGCAGGTCTTCACTGATGGGAGGCAGAAGAGCCAGGGCCAGTGGCGTCAGTCTGGTTGTGGGACAGCAAGGAAAGGTACAGATGTGGGCTGTGAGGCAGACAGCCTGTCCTGAATCTCAAGGGACCCTCACAGCCCCTCCCATTCTTGCTACATCCTTGGCTCCAGCTGTGTCCCCTTGGGACTGCAAAGATTTTCAGTCTTCCAATAGCCTCTCTTAAATGCACCAAATGACTTTGTGAGGCCTCCGCTGCCCTACGGGTATCAGCTGTGCACTGCCTGCAGTGAAGTGTCCTCTGGCATTGGGGTCCCTGAAGGAAGCTCTAACACTGCTTCTGGTGGGCCTCCACTCACCCTGAGAATCAGCATGGTGGATCCCTGCCCTGCCCTGGACTAGCCTCTCCCCATTCTGTCCTGCAGAAGATGCCTCACTGCCCACCCTGGGACCCTAGGCCTTCTTATGGCTATCTAAGTGTCACTACAGCCTGACCTGGGGGCTCGTGAGGTATAGACTCCTGCACACGTGGGTTCATTTCTCAGCGGCCATCCTACATCTGCACCACCATGGTCTATGAGAACAGGGATCTGGACAGCATTTGTCACTGTATACTCTGTGGACACTTCCCCACATTGCCAGGGCTCAAGAAATCAGCCTCTTCCTTGTGATGTCAGGACAAGAGATTTGGGGCCATCAGGGCACTGCTTCCTGGGGAGGAGACACTGTAGGGTTAGGGAGGCAAGGCCAGACAGCTACTTCTCTGTGTAAAATGATGTGGGAACAGCTATGAACAGAAGCCATGGGTGTGGTAGAAGAAACCATGTCTACAGAGCACTGTGAGTGCCCCTAGCACAGCAGTAGGTGTGCATGTGCCAGAACTGTCTGTGCAATGAAATTGCTAAGTGCACACTCAGGACTCGAGCTTTACCTCCCATGCACATTGACGGGAGCCCCTGTGAGCAGCGAGGACTGGCAGGACAATTCAGAATGGCAGGCACTAGTGTCCTCTCACTTCTGTGGCTTGCAGGTGGCAGCACTGGCAGTGTTACTGGGAGGAAGGAGTTAAGAATGAAGTCTCAGGGGCTGGGGTACAGATCAGTACTTGCCTGGCATGCACAATGCCCTGGGTTCCATCCCCAGTTCTGCCAAAAAAAAAAAAAGAAAAAAAAAAAAGAAAGCCTCAAAATCGCTCGAAGACTCTGAAATGCCAAACACTGAAGAAACAGGAAGCTTGTAACACAGAGGTCTGAGGGTTTTGTGTTCCACATACTGACAGCCCCAGGCTGAGGAGGAGGCTGAGCTGTGAGGAGGTACAGGCTGGATGGTACCCTGGCACTTATGCTGGGTAAACAAATTCCTGGTGCTACTGAGCCATGTCCATGATGCACGTGATGGGATGCCAGCCCTGCTGAGCCAGGGCAGAGGGTGGCGTGTCTCCTCCACCTCCTCCAGGCTGGTGGACACTGATTGCACTTTGTGGTTCACATACAGTGGTGTGCCATCTATGCACCTCTCTGACTTGGCTTTCTTTTCTGAGCATCTCTGTGATGTACTGTTCTAAGGTCTGTCCACAGAAGCCACTCCATGGAACCCATGGGGCCACGTTAAGGGCTTTCCCTGTACCCCAAGGCACAACTTCCCATGGCTGGCAAAACCTGGTACATCAGCCCGCTTTCAAGGCTGACCATGTTGATGAAGCCGTGCAAGCCATGGGGGATGTACCAACTCTTGACCAACTTCAGCCTTGGAGATTTGGCCTGAATCTCTGTGGCTGGTGTTCCCTGCTCCTGGTGACAAGCACCACAAGCATGTACTGAGTTCCTGCTGTGCCCTGGTCAGGTGTCAACATCCAACATCACTGGCCCAGGTTTGCAAAACTTGCCTGCTCCACATGGACACTCTGACACTTCCATTCTCAACAGCCACACTCACTACAGGGCTGATGTGGGGCAGGGAGCCTGGCCCTGGTCTCCCACAAGCTCCCCTACCATGTTCTGCTTGAACAGGACCCACACCTTCCAGAGTGTATCAGCTCTACTGCTCTAGGCACAACTCTGGAGAAGCTGCCTGGCCATGTTCTCTCCAGGCCACTCAGTATCCTTGGTCTCCAGAGGCTAAGTGGCCACTATCCCAGGGTAGTATAGTGAATGTCCCCACAAAAGTGAGGCTAAGGAACTCAGGGAGTTCCTCTTGCAGGAGGAGACAAGGCTCGTGTTACTTCCCTGCCGCATCCCAGCCAGAAGCTCAGGCTGTTGGCAGGGCTCCCTGGTCCTTCTCCGCTCAATGTCGCTGACGCCAGTGGTCCCCACCTAAGCACTATCCCAAGACAGACGCTGGATCCTCAGTGTCCAGCGGAAGGTGACCACTGCCTCAGCTCCTATCCTTGTTTCAAATACAGTGGGAACGTAGATTGGTGCTGCCCCCTGGGAAATGCAGAGGACAGAGTAAGGGTCCACATCCTTCTCAGGGCACCACATTTCTGTCAGGGGAGGTGGCTGACTGCCAGCTGGCTGTGTCTGGGATGGCCGTGGCAGCAGGAAGCTAGGCAGATCAATGCAGGGCTGGTGGCCCAGCTTGCTCTAGGCAGCTCCAGTAGCCTTCTGTGACACAGCTCGGTTCTGCAGCTGGCTACCCGAGGCCATCAGGAGGTAGTGATCCTGGCATAGCCTGGCCAGACCACACAGCTCTGCATCCTACACGGAACACTCCTCCAGCTGGTGACCTCGAGGGGGAAGGCTTCCTGCTGTCCCCAGAAGCTCCAAGTCCCTCACAGGTGCTGTAGCCCCTGCTTGGAGACCACTGGATGGATTCTGAGGCCACAGTCATCTTCCAGCTGCTCACAGATGCCATATTCCTTACCCAGTACATGCAGTGCCTTCTCAGGGGGCCCTCGTGCCACAGTGTAGAGAAGCCTCCATGCTGTTTTGTCCTCAGTCCTGAACCCCTCCTTAGAACTTCACTTAACTTGTGACTTCTAACTTCTCGGTACCCAGTTGCCTTGGCTCCTCCAGGGCTGCCCAGTTCCTGGTGCAAGAGATGCTTTTTGCCATGTCCTCGCCAAAGGAAAGAGCAGTTGTTTTCCTTATTCGGGGTTCAACCCTGTTGTCAAGGGCCAGGAGCACTGACCCAAGGTTTAAATGAAGTCTCAACAGACAGGCCAAGGGTTGGAGAGTGCGGAGGAGGCTACACATGGAAGCATGTCTGGGGCGCCAGGCTGTCAGTGGGGAGTGTAAGACAAGTCTTCATTTTGAAATGCACATCAAATAAGCTACATAACTTTTTTATAACAACGTATTTATCAAAATGCATTGATTCCAGATTCAGAGTCTCCTGCAGCGCATCTCTGCAGCCTGATGTGGGCATTGAGGGAGTTTTGTTCTGACAGATATAATGCAGCAAGCAATAAAGTCTGATTATATGGGTTGACATACTGCTTTCAAGTCCAGGGCTATTTTGTGTCTCTACCTAAACCATAATTGAAAATAAATCTCTCCAGTTTTCAGATTCCAATTTTCTGAATGTATGGGTAGGGTCAGTAGTAGATGGCCTTCTTTGAGGGGCTGACCTATGTGCTGCCCATCTGTGGTTAGGATGCACTCCTGGCTGGAGATGATCCTGACCCTGGGCGGTTGGTCTGGCAATGCCAGGCACCTGCAGGCCCCCTGGATTCATGAAGCTCTGGGAGACCCAGGACCATCTGCTCCAAGGCTGCTCTGCCACGTCTGCCCA